GTGACACCGTCCTATGGAACACATTGCGTGGCAGAAAATCGGTTGGAAACCCTTATCACATCTACATTGACCAATTTGTTGATGAATGGATGCTATCTGGAGGAATAGCAACAGTTATACCTGACAGAAATGGTTGGAAGGAACAAGTCAGGATCGATCTGATGATAATGGTAGTGATGAAAATTGGCCTTTCGATTAATTTTCATTCAAACAATTTACAATTCAAATAAATGTTTTACGAACAATTATTTTCGAACAATGTTCAGATAATCGTTTTGAAAAGTGGACATGGGCAAATATGTGGCATTCAATTCTACCATTTATTTACCCAAGTTTCATATGTTGGTTTCTCTCCGTTCGAAATGCGAACTTTTAGATTTATGGAGAGACCTATGTTGGGACAACCCTTTGAATTCACTCGTAACACGCAGGAATAAAATAACTCATAACTTCGATTTAATAAATTCCACGCGAATAAAAAAAGAACAACATTTATTACGTAGAAAATACATAGAAGGAATCCTGGTAAATATTTCCCAACGATAGACAGATACGAAAGACATCTTATTATGTCACTAACTTTCAGAAAATCCATGCTCAAAGAATTTAAGTTCAAACTACCGATAACCACAACCAGTGTAACATAGATTCTTTAAATCCCACTCGAAACATACCCCAATCAACATATGAACGCTACCATACAGAAATAAGTTCTAGCAAACTAATTAGAATAATGATACGCAAAAACACAAGAATTATACACGGGAACGTTATTAGAAAAAAAAATTCAAAGAAGGTTTACATAAGCAATGAAACATAAACAAAACAAAAATTAAAAACACGATAATGTTTTTTCTCTTCCGTATTACATTCCTGATGAAGCATAAATAAAAGTGAAACACGTTAAATTTATAAACCTTTTCCGTGTTCCTTATCCTATCATATATATATATATATATATATATATATATATATGTGTGTGTGTGTGTGTAAATATCTATGTAATTCGAGCAGCACTAGCTGTTTGGACAATGGATGCCGAATGATTCGGCTACTATTATCATTATAATTAGAGATGAGAAGAATTGATACTACACTTTAATCCCATCCCGGTAACGAGGGAGTGAAGAAAATCGTAACTCGAGTAGAACTGGCTGGCTCGGTCAGTGAATGCCAAGTTTTCTTTATAAGGAAATGGCGACTATTATCATTAGAGATGAGGAGCCTGATACTACTTTTGATCCCTGCCTGATGGTCAAGGAGTGACGAAAATCGTAACCCATAAGTATCGTATACCTTAAAAACTATATATATATATATATATATATATATATATATATATATATATATATGTGTGTGTGTGTATTGTAAAAGTGAACATAAGTCAACGCTTAGAGGTGACAGTCAGGACATCGACGATTGCGTCTAGCATGAAACAGACTGTTGCCTCTAAATGTTGACTTCTATGTTCACTTTTATATTTACACACGCTCTATCTCTGATATTGAGCACTTTATCCCATAAATATAGCACATCTTAAGACTATATATATATATATATATATATATATATATATATATATATATATATATATATACATATAAAGTTTAATCGCCGTACAATGTCAGTCGTCTCTAATGAATTTTTGTATAAAAAGAGGATTGCTGCACTAATAAACAATTATCTATATATATATATATCCGAATACAAGGTTGATTTTTTTTATTTTATAATCAACATCATCACTTGCCAAGACACCAGAAGTTTTGAAACAAAATGACTATTTTTGTAGTGAGGTTCTTACATACTTATGTAATAATTTTGAAATATATATGATCAATATATATATATATATATATATATATATATATATATATATATATATATATATATATAAAAAAGGATATATAACAAAAAAAATTTTAAATAAATAAAAAACAGATTTTAAATAAATGATATATATAATTATATATATATATATATATATATATATATATATATATATATGCATGTGTATGAGTGTATGAATATATGTGTGTGTATATATATTTTTTAGGCATATTTATAAAGAATAATTGTAGGTCATATAAAAGCACTTAGTTGATTAACAAAGCAGAAGGGATATTAATTTTCTGATGTGTACAAATTTATTAACTTGGAGTTGCTATTTAATTTGGCAGACCACCAATAAAGGGCGTCGCATTTTAAAACGGGCATTTTTTTTTCGCAGATGAATATTTCGTACTTGATGGATCTTAATCGGTATGAACATTCATACAAGTCGTCTATTTAGATTTTCCTGACGTCTTTCACGTGAATTGTGCAGGCAACGCGAAGTAAGCCCGAAAAATGAACATTTTGCTGAAGAAATCGAGCTCTGCTTAGGAAAGTATGTTTGATCTTTACCTGAAATGATGGATTTACCTGAGATGAATTCCTCGGTAATGATGGAGTTAACAACCGGTTAAATGTTTTCTTGTATTTAAACCAAGTATACCAGCATTCTCTTACTCTACTGTGCTGAGGGCAAATTCAAAATTTATTTATTATGAATCGCTAAAAGGAACAAATGAAAGTAAAAAATGTTCACATCATAATCTAGTTCAGTCTGAATTTCTTTAATAAGGAGTTATCATCATTTACATTGGTACAAATATCCAAAAGCTAGGCAGAGTATTACGAGACAAGAGGACTTCTTTGGTAAGAAAGAAAAAGAGTACTGAACTGCTACGTTATATCTGTCCTCCTTTAAGCTGCGAATGTTGGACGATCTCCTCAAAGATGAAGAAAAGACTCGAGCCAACGGAGATGTGGTTCTACAGAAAGATGGTAATGATATCATGGACCGAGCGTGTGAGCAACGATGAGGTTTTGGAAAGGATGCACACAAGGAGGAAGCTTATACTTAACATCAGGAAGAGGCAGCTGAACTACCTGGGATACGTAAATAGGAAAGAGGGCTTTGAGAATCAGATACTCACAGGTTGATTAGAGGGAAAGAGATACAAGGGAAAACAACACATGGCATACCTGGCGGGTTAAGCAAGTGGATGACAGAACATGGCCTAGGGGAAGTAGCAAAGGGACAAAACATATTGAGAGCTACAAGTAATAGGAAGACGTGGAGAACCATGATCGCCTACGTCCTGAAGGGACACGGCACATGAAAAGAAAAGACTAATATCCTCATTTTTGTTGTAATTTTCACGATGTTTCGGTTGTGTTCTCTGGACTTCTTCAGGTATCCGTCGATCCAGGTAAATATCAAGGAATTTCGAACAAAAGCCACTCTTAAATATTTCTGGGTTATTATTCCATTGTCCATTCCGAGGAATATCTTTCCTTGTTCACTTTTACTTCAGATCAGTTTTCAGCCTTTTTCAACGAGTCTAAATCTGCAATGCCTGGGATTGAACTCAAAATTATTATATCACTAAATCCACAAACAACGTTTTAATCGTAAGCTAATGTGTACCCGCAATGCAAAACAAAAGAGGTCATTAAGTTCAATGCAACCAATCAAAACTTATATCAGACTTTATATATTATACGGAGCACTTGCACTTAATGAATTAAACAACTGACAGTACCAAGCAGTTTTTTTTTTTTTGTGGGGGGGTATTTTTTTGGCGGGTTTATCCTGTACAAATTTATCTATGATAAAGATTCATTTCTGAATTTTACATATATATATATATATATATATATATATATATATATATATATATATATATATATATATATCCTATTTTCTCATTATTTAACATAATTTCATCTATTGCTTTGAAAAAATTCAGAAACTGATCTTCTGATATATAT